ATGTCATAAAAGGAGCACCGCTTTCCTTTGTCAATTTTATTAGGTATTTAGTAGAGTATGCAATTTCATTATCGTTGCTCCTTATGTTGTTTCAAGGATGCCTTTCCAACACTAATCTCCCACGATGTCACCGTGAGCCCGCACCTAAACTAGCCTTATTAAGAAGTACTCTGACTCGATTGATAGAGAAGTCAGACATTCCTTTACTTTCGAGCGCACCATCACTCCCTTTAGCAGGGAGTCTACCGCTTCCTTAATGACAGATATTTCCACCTGAAAGACACTGCAAAAGCCCGAAAGCCTGAACATTGTTTTGGTGGAGAGTCTCCGAAATATGACACTTCCACCAACCTTGTCTCACAAGTTTTGATTCGTCCGTGAAGAAGTTCATCGCTCACCTTCTTCGATTAACCCCGCCCTACCCAGTCCTCTTGAGGAAATATAGGTAGAGAAGAGCTTCTGGGAGCCATTTTGGCGCTATAATCTATGCATTCAGGGCGATTCCCCTGAGCCTAATAGCAGTTCGTGCTGCGAAAATTCTGTCTGCAATATCCGTAGCCGCCGTATTCAACATGGCGTTAAGCGCGAGTGTAGTAGAGGTGGCAGATATTTGCGTACCTGTGACTTTGTCACGGTTACTCAAAAGTCACGGGTAACTGATGTGACAACTTCCAAAAAGTCACCGTGACAAAGAAACAGTCGCAATGATGTTTTTGTAGTAGCAGTAAAGCTGATGCCAGATAAAACGCTTGCTTCGCTTTGCGTGACAGTTTCGCTTTGACAGATAAGATGAATTGTATGAAAATGCACAAAGCATGCCCCATAGATCGTTGCAGCTGCAGCGCCAAGCGAAAAGATGGCCAACTCCCATTTTGACAATCAGCCAGTTTGATACTATTTATTTTGTTTCGTTAAAATTCGAGTTTTCATGCAGAAACATAAAACTTAATTATATTGCTGATATTTTTAAAGCTAAATAAGTATATAAAATCCACAGCAATTTTGACGAGTAAAAAGGCGTTCATTGTGGCATACCTTTGGCGTCTGGTGCTTTGCTGGAAAACTTATAAATGTCATGCAAAGCCACAAAGTTTTATCTGGCATCAGCTTAACAGTCACAGTCACTACTACGAACTGTGACTGCGCTAAAGTAGCAGTAACAATTACATATCGAGAAACTGCGACTAGTTATTTAAGACTAAAATCTGATAAATGTTGTTTGATATTAGAATTTCACATCATTAAAAACGAGTATGAATGACCAAAAAACGAGGAAAGTAGTCAGTGATGCCAAATAAATAATGCCCTTAGTTCACTCGGTAAAAGATTCCTGTTTGCAATTTATTTGCCACTGTTTTTGTCAGTCACGGATGAAAATCACTGACTGCAAAGTCACTGTCACAAATAACGTTGTTCCTCAAAAGTCACGAGATTGCCCATCTCTAGAGTGTAGGTATAGTGCTCCACTAATTCCGAGATGGTTTTTACAGTGTAAGCTCCACCAGACAAGGGCTCCTTGAAAAAAGATAGGCTTAACCCTGGGATTCAGTCTCATCTCAAGTCACTAAATTTGAGATTAGCAATTAGTGACTATTTTTGTGACTTGAGACGATTTGGGTATTCAGAAGGAGAGAGTCACAAAAAGTTCACCAAAAATGTGTGGTGAAAGCAAAGACAGACAATCAACTGATAGGTTTATGTATGCTTTTTGCCCGCGCCGCTCAAAGAGTCGCAATGGCCGAGTGGCCAAAGCATTAGGCTGGCAGCCGAGAGGGTCCGGGTTCAAGTACTCCTCGGCCGTAGAGGATTTTTTATATTTTTTTTTGTATTTAGTATTTTTGTTATTTTTTTATTAGTTTTATTTTTTTTAACAATCTTTAGATTTTAATGTTTTAAAATCAAAAAAATTAAATTTTTTTCAATACATTTGTATGATATTAAAGCATTTTGGTTTATTTCCTAATGAAATTATTGTTGAACAAATTTCCTCGCTTCATTTTCCCGTTTTTTTTTAATAAAATGGAAAGAAATAAGCTTTTCCTCCATACTTCTATTTTTGTGACCGGTTCTTAGCCAGCTGACAAATTAGTGACTTATTTTTGAGACTAGAGACGTGCGACAGCGTACTGAATACCAAATAGTCTCAAAATCCAAGCTCACCACCAAAAGTCACTATTTTTGACTAGAGACCGCTTACTGAATGCCTGGGTAAATATGGTTTCATAGAGCTAAATAATTTCTTTAGGCGAGAGACCTCACCTGCTACCGATAGCTCCCCTATAGTGGTACAAGGCAACCGACGTCTTTCTTACATTTTCCTCAATGTTAGGCTTCCACTACAGCCTCCCTCCAGGAGCAAGCACTTGACCTTCTCTAAGAGCTGCAGACGACCGCCCCCACTCGAGGGAAGGGCCACAACGGGTATCGTGTACTTCCTGGTAAACAAGACCAGTTCCGTCATGCTGGAATTTACAGCGATTCCGCCGTTGATCGCCCACCTAATTACCTGGTTCAGGTAACAGTGAGTCAGGTAAAAAGGGGTGTCTAGAAATCGTCCCTTAACTAAAAGTTCCACATTATCTACATATGCGATCACCCGACAGCCCACTTTTTCCAGTTCCAGTTAGAAGGTCGTTTACAACCGCAATCCAGAGCAGGAGAGAGAGAACACCACCTTGCGGAACGCCCCTGTTGACTCCACAGTTCCGTCACGAAGCTGTACATAAGCCTTATTAGGTTTGTTTCAACCCCCAGATTATGAATAGATTTGACTATTTCCTCTGGAGTGACATTGTTGATATCGAGGAAAGTCCCTTCTGAATAACCTTTATGCGTGAAAGCTTCCCCTAATCACTTTACTAATGTGTGCAGGGCGGTATCAACCGACCTTTCCTTGCATTAAGCATGTTGAGCTCTTGAAAGACAGTCACGGAGCATCGCGTTTCTTATGTACAGGTCTATCAGTATCTCTATCGTTTTTAGCAAAAACGAAGACAGAATGATAGGCCTAAAATCCCTAGGGGAAACATGAGAGCCTTTTCCGGCCTTCGAGATGAACGCAACACTGACTACCTTCCAAGCCTAGGGGTTGTACCCGATCCTCACGCAGTTGACTTAAATAGGAGCCAACCAATTACACGACAGCTCCAGAGCCCTCTGCAGCTGTGCAGGTGAGACGCCACCCGTCCCCGACTTGAAGGGTATGAACGAATTTATCGCAAAGACCATGTGACGACCGTCCAGAAGATCGGAGAAGTACAGGGCCTAAAGTATAAAATATTGCAAAGAAGTACATTTGACTGAAGTACAAGAGCTAAAAAAGAAGTACTGTACTACCGAAAGAAATACGGTTGGTCACATTATTCATACTCCACCAAAAACATAAAAATCAAATCTCCAAACTTTCTGCAAAACTCAGGAAAATTCAATAAATTTGCATACTAATTTGCAACTTTTTATGCAGATTTTTCAGTATGATTCTAAGAATGCAGTTTTATAGCCCATTTGATTTTAGTATAAGAAAGTGAAAGTGTGAAGTTCCTAGAAAATCGCGTTGATTTTTGGCAATTTTTTTAGTGGAAGGTGTTGCTCATTTTATCCATACAAAAACTAAATGCCGAACATACTTTATATGGAAGAACCTGCGTGAAAAAACTGCCAAAAATCAAGGCGATTTTCTAGCAACTTCAAACTTGGACTTTCTTATACTAAAATGGGCTATAAAACTGCATTCTTAGAAATTTTCTATAAAATCTGAAAAAATAGTTGCAAGTTAGTATGCAAATTTATTGAATTTTCCTGAGTTTTGCACAAAGTTTGGAGATTTGATTTTTATGTTTTTTGGTGGAGTATAAACCATATTTTTATAAAAAATAATCGCAAGTAAATAAGAATAAAAAACTTTGGATATATTGTGAAAACTTCACTGTGTCAATACTTTTGTTCATCACTGTACATACATATGTCATCTTTGAATTTGTAATTAATTTTCGAATTTAGAAAGTGTGATCTTTCAAACCGAATTAGTTACCTACTTTTGTTGATTTTCTTTAGCTTGTAGTATTTTTTATGAACTTTGGCTATGTCGTGGAAATTTAACGAGAAACTTAAAGCTGAATTAGTGGTGCCATACTATAGCCATAACCATAACCATACCGATTATGTTCCGATAAAACGTACGCGGAGCTCTGTAAACGATTAATGGTGCCATACTATAACACCATAGCCATAACCATAACCGTAGCTCTGAAGTATTTTGCTACGTTATGGCTAAGGCGTTATGGTTATGGAACCTCTAATGTGGGCTTTACGCTGCACCTATCTTGGAGGATTTAGATATTGTGAAGTTGAAATGTAAAATGTTTGCAAAATATGACTGATGTATAACTAATACAAAAAAGAATACTAAAAATACTTTCTAGCCAAACGCATTACTTGCATTGATATAGTTACTCAACTTACTTTGCATTCAATAAATATAAAGTCGTAGTGGATATCTTTTAATAAATATATACTGCTGTAAAATGGGCCTAATTAATTACATGTCAGATTGTGAAAACATACAATAACTTATATAGATAATAATAAACACATTTTTTAAGTATTATGCTTCCTCTTTTTGGTTACCTCCACTTAAATACACATCGTCGATTGGAACTTAAAACTGCGTACACACCAAATGCAATACCACGTATAAGAAGGTATGAAATTTTCACAAAAGAGCAAAAAAAAAAAAACTTTCTTCAATCTCTTGAATCACGATCTAACTGAATTTACTACATATGAGCTTCTATTATTCTATTGTGTACTATTCAATTTATAGAGTAGACTGCTATATAGACAGGGTAATGAATTAAAATTTTTTTCTGTGCTGTATCATACGTGGAATTACATTTGGCGGATACGAGATATTAGTTGCCAAGCGATGATATATAATAAAAGTACCACAAAGTTATATCGTTATGCAAGTATGTGAACCGAGCTATTCTAAACGTTTGCAGAGCCTTACTGTGGAGAATTACACTAAACAGAATATGTCAAGCACGATACCGATATTACAGCGGAAGCATCCGGTTAGCACTCTACATAAAACTTCAACCAACAACGTGACATTGGATAACCCTGTTGTGCTCGAACAGCAGCTGGAAGCTTTGACCCATCACAAACGACAACTGGAGAAAAAAGGTCTATTTCTGCAACAACCAAGAAAAAATGAAATACCATCAACAGATGTAACAGGCTTTCCGAAACTATTGGCGAATTGTCAAGCAAATGATAACTACACATCAGGTGTTATTTATTCAAATGTGCGTTCAACACCGGACAAATTAGAATCATCGGTTTCTTCATTGACTCTCAATCCTATGAGCGATAATGCAAAATACTCTGATGAAGCTAATTCGGAAAGATATATTGCAAAACGTATAACGGATTCCAAAACTATGCGCTATAATGACGAAAATGCTGACAGAAATCAACTAGATAGTCCAATTTTTCGGAAGCAGAATGAATTTTACTCAAACATGGTGTTCGAGGAAAGTAAGCAAGGTAAGTTGGTCTTCTAACTGTTTATTTTTTAGCTTCGTTAAACTACAAGTTAATTAGTTAATGAGGGAGATTATATTTGCGTACAATGAAATTAGTGCACACATTTTTACTGGTTAAACTTTTCAAAACCAAATTATTTATTTTTTTTTTTAATAAGATACCTCTGGAAAATACTACTGGACTAAAGAAATAAAAATGAGTTCGATTTTTCAAGCTAAATCCAAATTAGACTTTCAAAACCTTCGCGTCAAGGAATTCGGTTTCGTGATTTTTTATAAAGTATGGCGAATATATAGGGAAGGAAAGTATCGAAAGAAGTACAATACTCTCAAGCTAGAAAAGTTAAAAAGTAGGGCTAAAGGCACACAAGGTCCAGGAAGTTGCAGATATAAAATCAATAAAGAACATCGAAGCAAAGGAGCGAGGCAAATGACTTCACCGTGATTTCATAAGGAATTTCGATTGCTGCGTTATCGATGATGTACCACGACATATGTACTTGACGACTTTTCGCAGCTTCCGGGCACCGATGTTTTTTGTCGCAAACCTTGGGGAAAATGTCCAAGAGAAGCATAAAATCCAAAAAAGACAAAGCTTCCAACGAAGTGTTTGGTATGGCAGGCAATATGCCATTTAAACCAAAAAGTATTTTAGCATTTGTACCCAGACATGGGAGTGCAGCGAACCTCCATGAGCTCAGACCCATTGAACGGTATTGGGCTCTGGTGAAAAGGGTTTTGACGGACACAAAGCAGGTTGCTAAAACAACTAAAAAATTCTCAAAAAAAAATAAATAGATTTTTTCCAAAAAAAAAACAATACTCCATAAAAAGCCTAATGTGTTGCATTTCGGAAAAAGTTAATTTGTTTATACAAAAACAATAATGAACATAGTATTTGTAATAAATGTCAATATGAATTGGATTTCTCCTGATAAAATTTGTTGTTCCTTTTAATTCATCAAGTACTTTAAAAGTAACTGGTATATCTTTGTGCACCAATTTCATGGTGATATGTATGTAGCAACTCTGACGAATTTCCATTGAATAGACAAGCATACCTAATTTTAAATATGTGGTAACCGCGATGCTCACAGCGAAACACTTTTTTTGTTATTCATATATTTTATATTATATATTTAAGCATATACATATAGCTGTCTCAAACGTCAAGCTGTGAAGTCGTATTTAACGTATGCGGAGTGAATTACGAATTGATGCAGTAAAAAGAAACAGCTGTACTTTAGGATGACACAAATATTAGGTCCATTCAATAACTTTTCCAGTAAGTACTTGCAGCGAGAGCGTAGAAGAAAAATTGAGAGCAAGAGAAAATTTTCAGAAAAAGTTATTGAACGCAAAACTAGTAAAAACTTGCAACTTAAGCCATTTTAACAATTTCTGACGGTTAAGTTTAGGCGCGCAATTTTCTTTTTAATTGGGAATAGTTCCCATCGTCATAAAAATAAAAAATATACAATAGATTTAAATTTTTCATCTATATTTTCATTTCACTAATTATGTTTTATCAAATCATCCTCTTAAACAGTTTGTTTACATTTGAATTCGAAACATAACCTTACTTTTTGACTCCTGCAAATTCCTGCTAGTAAAGTTTTTACGCTCTCGAATTCGCTCTCTCTTGCAAATATTTTGGGTTATTGAATGCATTTCCAGTACAAACTTGTAAGTACTAGTAACAATTCGTAACACTTTTTTGATATTGAATGGACCTATTGTTTTCCCACTCACATAGATATTGCCGAAATTTCCGAAAAGCACTTTTATAGAAAAGACTCATGTCCTTAACGATTGGCCTGTTTAAGTTTTCAGGCATAGTCCGGAGGGCTTTTTTTAAAATATTATTTTGGGACTTTATTCTCCCAATTTGAGTTTTTATTTTTTAAGTCATTTAGACGATAATTAGTTCATAGTTATATTTAGGTGGTCTCATTTCGCTGCTATGTGAAACATCTTTTTTCGCACTCGTGGGGTGTCCTTCTAGTAAATAAAGTTTCTTTGTAAATAAAGTTTTTTTTTTAAGTCTCATAGAGAAAAAATGGAAAAGCACGTTACTTTTCGTGATATTGAGTTTCGGTATACAAAATTTACAAGCAAATTTTCAGAGTTTGCTCGCTTTCAAGGAAATTATTTCAGCATTATAATATACAACGAGGTAATTTTAAGTGGAATGCTTGCTATGATTGCGCAGTAGATTTTGGTATACTTGGTTTGGCTCCTGTGTTTACCATGATTTTTTTAAATCTGCTTAGAAATTGTCCGTATTTCATTCCGTATACGTTATATTGTGCTCTAATTTACCTTTGTATTTTCCAAGGTTTTTGTGCTAAAGTTGATTTAAAGTACTGATAAAAAGTGCCAATGAGCATTTTGGTGTGCAAATAAAGCTAACCCAGTAAGAACCCTATCTGTTAACTAATGCGTTATATACGCCTAGTACTACAAAAAGTTTGTGTGAGAAATTCAAAAACTTTCCATCATTTTACATAGGGCTCCTGGAGAAATCTAACGCATAATCGTTTCACGTGCGAGCAGTTTTCTCTTTCTTTTATATGGATTTCGCTATTATATTATCCTATATATAGTGATCTCTTTTCAATCAAATATTATTATGCGATTAATAACGTGTTATATAACGCAAAGAATGGCATATGGATATCGGTAATATACAAATGTGTTGGTTTTTATTGACAATTTTGTAAGTGAGAATACGTTAGGTCGTTCTTGCTGGGAAGTTGAATGTTATTATTGTGATTTTTATTGTTATTTTGTGTTATTGATTGGAATCAATTTAATTAAATTTCATTTACTTGTAATCTTGCCAAGTCATCTGTGAATTGATAATTTCTTTGTAACTGCAATGGTTTTTATTCTCCCACACTTGTTTTGCTCTTTCTAACCGACTTCACAAAAGGGAGGAAGGTTATCAATTCGTCGGAATATTTTATTTTATTTTTTTTTTATGTATGTTACCGCATAACTTTAGACCACGTTAACCGATTTCTATAATTCTTTTTGCAAAGGAAAGGTGTTACCTCACAGGTGGTCCCATCCTCATGTGGTTTAAATCCGGCCATTGCATCATGAAGAGATTAACGACAATCTTAAATTTTTATATGAGAATTGAAGTCGGCTTATTTTTTGCTTAAAAATTTCTTGTTTTAGTAATACTTGTCTTAGTAGTGGTATTCATCTAAGCCGATAACGACTCTGTTACATGAACGCCCCATTCTCTCAGTATCAGTAATTTTATACTACTAGCACGGGCATTAAGAAATTTTAGAAATGACCTCACTAAATGGGAACAAATTATATTTAGACGAGATGATATTCATTTAAATAAATATTTAACATAAAGGCGATTTATTTGAAGCAAGTTAAAAAAAAAAAACAATGGCAGAATGTCTGTTTGAGTACGAATTAATTTGTCACTGCTACCAAACTGTGCGGGCAAATTATCAGTGAAACAAAACAAACAGAACGGATAATAAATTGAACCAGATCTCTATCAGGTTCATATCTTTGTTGTTGAATTTGCGTCGAAAATTTTTATGAGGATCCCGATTATTGCCCAAGAAAAGACAGCTAGAGTTGCAACAGAGTTGCATTGGCTTCAGAGTATCAAGTTTATTCAGTGAAATCGCTGGAGAAATGTGTAAACGAGTTTCCATCCAAATTTTGACAGTTAACATATAGTTATAAATTTATACGGTTTATAATGCATTTATACGGTTTGATCAATATCCTTAGTGATTCTGAAACTTTTCGCTATATATCTTTTAAAGCTTAATACATCAGCTCATTTTAATTAACCTTTTAACAGTTATTAAGAATATTGTTAGCCTTCTTTATAAAATGTTTCCTATGAAGTGTGATCTTGATAATTGTTAAGTTAAAAGCGATTCTGAACGCTACTTATCGTGCTGGCGTTGTGATGGTATTTGCCATCGGAAGTGTGCTAGTTTGACAGGAAGGATTCTGTACGCTATTAGTGATGGCAAGGGTCTTGTTGTCGTTGTTGTAGCGGCTACTAAACTCCGCTCGAGTCGGATCATCCGTCATCGTTGTCGTCTGGCTCAGCTAAGGGGAGGCTCGGGAAGTGCGCAACTTCCCCCGGGTTGTCCATAGGGACATGCGATGAGGTGCCGTGTGGCGGCGCTCCGCATGCCGGACACTCGTTGGGCACATCTTTCACTCTGCTCAGGTACAAGTATAACCTGCTGCAATATCCAGAGCGAAGTTGGGATATGGCAAGGGTCTTCGCTGGTCTTGCTTAAAGTGCAGGTCAACCGAAATTGATCTTTTTAAGTAGTTTAGGCAAACCAGAAATGGTTTTCCAAAAGTAGGAAAATCATCACACATTTCATATTACATACGCTATTAGTAAACGTGAAGATTGTAAGACAAATTATTACAATAAAGAACTTGTGAGGACCAAATATCCCTGAGGAATTTGGCCCACACAAAGACCCACCACCAGCAACAAAAGTCAAAGCAGCCAGTCACGCAATGAGCCACAGCAACACAATCAGATCAGCCAGCCACGCAACAAGCCACAGCAACACAAGTAATAGCAACACCCGACAACCTCTTCGTTGTGATGACAACGCAACATCACACAGCAAAATGTAGCTGCACGACCACGAAACATCAAGCGCACAGCCTATTAGAGGAGCAGCCCGACGGGAAAGCGGTCAGTCAGCACGGCGTTATGGTCGTGACGACAGCTACGACTGAACGGGATTGCTTGTGCATCGTTGATAACACAACAAGACATCATCGCTTCACAAGTAGAGAGTTGAGAGCGCACCGCAGCATATCGTGAAGCCGCATACGGGCGGCCAAGAGCGCCACTAACCGGCGCGACTAGAGCGCTGCTCTCCAACGTCACCAGAGCGCCACTTGCCGGCGCGACTAGAGCGCTGCTCTTCGACGTTAGCTGAGCGCGACCAGAGCGCCTTTCACCGCCGTTGCTATAGC